CCCAATGTTTGCCACCTCGCTTTTTTCTGAAACCTTGCTCAGTTGGTTAAATTTCGGTTGGGACCGGAACGATCGGCTAATCCCATGAATCTTCCTTATTTTGAGTATCGTCGGATCGGGAATAGATAGGTTTGCCTGGTATGTTGAAAAGCGTAACACAGAGACCGCATCACACCCTGTCCAACCAATATCTGCTCACATTTTCCTGCCCAGCAGTCTCTGCCAGGCGGTTTATGTGAAGTAAAATATTGAAGGGTAAGCTAAGAAAACAAGAGGATGAATGTCAGCTACATAATGATAATACAAAGGAGTGAGGAGAAATTATAAGCACAAAGGAGAAGTTGAGGATCCAAGTCGGTTAATGGAAAAGGAAGGTTAGTACGGCCACCCAACTGCATGTAACTGACACTCGAAACCCTCTACCGCAGACTCCATAAAGAGGTGCACCAGAAGCGCGTTCCATCGTTAAATAACTCGGCGCGACCAGCGTGTTTCCGTCCTTAACCGGTCAAAACGCAATTTGAGCAGCTTCAACGGGTGGCCTCGGAGACCAGGCATCTTGGAGGGACTAAACAGCCACGACAAGCCTGGACCTAGCTTACTCGTTAAGATACGATAAGGGAGGATCAAGTCTCCTCTCAATCTGCGGTAGTGCATTGAGTACATACCCAAGCTATGCAAACGTTTGGGATGCGTTTGCTCCTTTACTCCTTGCACCAACCTTGTACCCTCTCGCAAAACCCTCTCCAGTTCCATTTTGTCCCTTACACGACAAGGTGGGCAAGCCTGGATCCAGTACTCTAAGTTGGGACGCACAAAAGCTGAGGACAGCTTCACGAAAATATTGGCTGCTAGGACAACGAAGGAGCGGTGAATTAACCTTATCATACGGAACCCTCTACAAGCAGCCTTCCTTTAGTTATCCCCAGAGTGAAACAATGAGGTGTAGGCTATACCTAGATCACTCTGCTGAGTGGCAACAGGGAGTTCACTGCCACCTACCATATAGCGCGTGGGAGGGCTAGCACCTCCAATGAGCAGTACCGAACAGTTCGACTAATTTATAGGCAGCAACCCTAAAGTTGACCAATCCCAGTTCCCATCCAATGCACCAGGATGGGCCTCAGCGCCACCAGGAACATCCACGATATTCCAGCGATTGATGTAATCAGCAAACTATAGCGACGGTACTTCAAGCTTCTGGGGTAGGTCGTTGACCTAAATTGCGAAAAGCAACGGCCATAGAACAAAGCCCTGCGGAACGCCACTAAGAAAAGCTTGTCTGCGCTAAAGGCTACACCACACGCGTACACACTGTTTTCTCCTCTCTAGGAGAGCAGAAACCCACTTAAGGGCGGCTCCGGATATCCCATTCTACCTCAACTTCAATGAGAGTCATTGATGTGAGACAGTAACAAAGGTTTTCTAGAAGTCTATGAAAAGCTCGTCGCTGGCGTTACCGTCAGCCCAGGTTTCACGAGCTACAAGTAAAGTTGTCAGACATGAAAATTCCTTACGGATTCCGTGTGATGCCGCACTGAGAAAGTTAAAATTAATCAGGTGATTCTCCACCGAATCCATTACCAACTTTTCAAACAACTTAACTACTACGCTTGTTAAGCTAACAGGCCAGTAGTTCGCCAGCAGATCTCTGTCACTGCCATTAAAAGTCGGACAGATGAATGACTTCTTCCATTCCGAAGGTAAGGCGCAGCTGTCGAGTGAGGTTGTAAACATGCATGCCAGATGATCACTTAGCTCGGCGGCAAATTCATGCATCAACCTAGGATGAATTGAATCAGGGCCAAGAGCTTTGGAAGGATTTTGCTCTCGCAATAGCTCGATTACTTGTGTTTCTGTTATGCTGATTTCAGTTGAACAAGAATTTTCCGGGATTTTTGTGACGGAATCAACCTGAGGTAGAGGGGCCTCCTGAGAAAAGACACCAGTATACTGTCCGCTAAGTATACAAGCAGTATCATAGTCGGTATGCCCATGGGTCCCGTTCGCTCATAGTAAAGCCGGTATGGACGAGTTTGTACTGCTACGTCTCTTTGTGTACGCGAAGAACTTTGGATTCTTTACGGCTGCGGTAGCCCAGTCCTCCTCGTATTGAAGACGAAATCTTCTAAGATGTTGCTTATATCGCTTTCTGACCGATCGATGGCTTTCGTAGTTGCTGGTTGAAGAAGCAGCTTGGTAAGTTTTCCAGGCATTAGAGCACTTCCTGAGCAGGTATTTACCCGTATGATCTATCCAAGGTGGCTGCGCGTGTGTCTCCCGTCTCTTAATGTGTGAGATATGGAGCTCAGAAATCTCGGTAAGGTATGTCTTAAATTTCTCCCAGGTTGTCTCAACAATGTCAGCCACGGTGATCGCACAAGGCAGAACTGAAGCTTTGTCTCGCATTACGTTAAAGCCTGCCCGCCAGGTATTTGGATATGCCTCACATGTGGCTTGCTGACACTTAGTTAGAGCACATCGAAAGGATACGCAGACATGGTCACTGACTCCTAGAGAACAGTCGTAAGTAATATCACCTTCGAAATCGTGTGACCTCGAAAAATTGGGATCCAAGGTATCCGGAAGTTGGTTGGACATATATCTAGTTGGGAAGTCCACGAACTGCTTCAAAGGCAGTTGCAATGTTAGCTCAAGGAGATCCGAACCGAAAGTACCTACCGCCGGACTGCAAGGTAGAGAAGCCCAGCAGGATTAAGGAAGGTTGAAATCACCCAGTATTAGAATACTGTTGGCAGTCGGAATAGGAATAAATTCAATAACCTCCCTGGAGATAATTCCAGAATGTTGATATAATACTACAACTGTAAACTGAGCAGATGAAGTGCACACAATAGTCGACATTGCTTCAACTGTTTGATCCGGCGACTGGTACACACAGGTCCTTAACACATTAAGTTTAAACTTCACATAAACAGCGACGCTCCCACCTTGGTGACCAATGGAACGATCGCGTCTAAACAGTGTGTAGCCAGGTACACGTAATTACCTTCGGTGAAATCCGGAGATAGCCACGTTTCGGTGATAACTAGTATGTCGGGACGAGCTTTGACTGCATGTAGGCCCATATCGCGTATCTTGTTCCTTAGGTTATGCGATTACTAAGCCCTATCCGAAGGAACTCGGCACGACCAGCCCTGGGTCGTACGCTACCATTAGGTTTTCTGGTAGGGCAGAATTTGACTTCCGGCTGACCACCCGAAAACCCACAAGACGAAGCCTTTGCCCACCAGCCGAACGCCTGCCCTTGAGGCTCATGATGGCTTCCTTTAACTTAGTCGATCTGCCAGTGGGAGGCCCGGGTGAACGGTGAGCTTACTTTCCCAGAGTTTGAACGTAAAGAGCATTAACGCTTTGCGTTCCTCCGGGGTGCATAGGACAACACGAAGTAGTCGGGGTCGCAGATTTGACATATCTCCAGGGACGTTCCCGGTCTGGTTAGCTTCTTGCTAGCGTCCCCGGGGAAACAAAATGGAAGCAACTTGTTGGCCCTGAGCTTCAATCACTGTGGGTGATCCAGCATGCGTTCCTTGGGAAAAACTGCCGCGGATTCAGCAACGCTATGAATGCTAACGCTACTATCAGTAAAAGAATCACCTCGACGAGGCGTATTCACTCCACGAGTCTTCGACTCGACCCCAGTTTCGACCAGTGTAGCAGGTGACACGGAGCGTTTTTTTGCCAAAAGAGCTGGCGTACCTGAGGTTGATGCTTTGTGTTCTACCTCCAACTTCCTCACCGGCCTAGCCTTTTCAGACTTTGCGGGTGCGGCCGAATTCGGCACGGCGCATAGCTTCGCCAATGGAACTGAGGTGATAGGAGTTAGAGCTTTGTGCTGGCTAGCCGAATATCGTTCCCGTGATGCCAACTGGGTGGTTCGGGTAAATCCCGTTCCAGCAAATGGTACGACGGCAGTGTTCCAGGATGTGGTGGAATTTTGCCTGGCATGCGTTCTCCCTATAAAACAACCACAGATATCCGTTTGACAACACTGTGACGTGGCGGATAACTCGCCACTAAATAAAGTCACTGCCACTTCCCTTTTCCGGAGGATAATTCACACAGCACGAAAGTCATCCGATTCGAAGTATTCCATTGACTTCCCCCTATGATGGCGAACCCAACGAAAAAGGACACACAGAGTAACATTTAAATACTCACGCAACATGGTAACTCCCAAACACAGATATAAACATACGCTCTCTCTACTCTAGTCGTTCTCATATTGTAGAAGGGCTGCTTCCAAGAATGCCTCGGGGGAGCTCTTTGGTGCTAGCTGAGAGCGGATCGAGAAGGACGGGTAGCGACGAGCCTGGGCCCGGAACTACGGAGCGGGAATATGTGGACAGCGCAATAAATCAGACATATACACCGCTAGCGCAGCCCACAGGACCGACGCCGAGCCGATTGACACAGCCCAGAACAAGCAAGTCGAGAGCTCTCGAACGACTCCTGGTCGATCCAAATCGGGTACAGAGAAGTGGGAATCGAGGCGAAAACAGGAAGGCGGATCTTCCAAGGAAGAGCTCCCGAGGCGAAAGGACTGGCTCGTCTCTAACATCCGTACCTGTGTTGCGTTGTGGGACGGAAATCTAGTCGATATTCGATGGCGCGCGCGAGACCCTCATGTGCCTATTTTCGGTGTGCAATAAACGTCTACCCCCTGTCTTGTCGTTCTCGCTACACTGGTGCCGTGACCAATCGCGATGGAGTTGACCCGGTTGGAGCAATTTGCGGCCGGTGACGTGGAGGCGTGGCTCGGTGAGTTCGACGGAATTGCGGCTTTCACGGGTTTGAGGGGATGCAAATTTGCTAATTGCTTTGGGCACACGGTTGAGTGGATGAGCCAAGGCGGTGTATCTGCTCACTCGAAAGGCCAAACCCGGTTGTTCGTTCGCTGAGATGAGAGCTGCCTTGTGTGCAGAATTTGGGAAGGATCTGGAGACAGAACGAGCCCTGCAACAATTTTACGCAGCCAGATGGGCGAACAGGAGGATTTTATGGTGTTTTTCCAGCAGCTGGACAGACATCTAACGATTGGGCTCCCTGAGTTAGAGGGTAACGCAAGAGAACGCCTACTGAAACAGCAGTTTATCCGAAGTCTGCCAGGTCCACTCCATGATCAGGTGAAATTGGCGTCGATGGTGGAAGACAGCAAAGCGTTGGATCTGGTGACGGTCGCCCAGAATTTGTCGGAACGAGTGACAGTGAGAAGCATCCAGCATGCTGAGTTGGAACAGAAAGTAAATCGCCTATCCGAAATGGTGGAGCAGCTGTTGGCGATAGAGTCTTCAAGCACCACTTCACAACGCAATGTACGGGTAATCCGGAACGGTCGCCGCTGTTTCCGATGCAACCAGAGTGGTCATGTGGCGAGATTCTGCACCAACGTCAATGTGCCCCATTGTTTCCCTCTATCCATGCCGAGTCAGTGGCGAGTACCAGTCCTCCAGGTAACTATAGAAGGTGTGTCTGTTCAAGCCATAGTAGACACAGCAGCGGCAGTGTCAATTACGAAGACGTTCAACGGGGTTCCAGTAAACCCATCTTCAATCACGATGCAGACGGTCGGCGGGCATTCTGTGAAAGTGTCGGGCACGCAGCGGTTACGAATCAGGATAGGAGAAACGCTCATCAGCCTTGACATGTTCATCGTGGAGGAGACAACCGAAACCATTATTGGAACCGACATCCTGAAACGGCTCGGTGTCACAATTGACCTGAAAACAATGTGGTGATCGTGGCGAACGAGACGATCGAGATAAACAAGGTGAGAACCGACCGGGTTGGTGCCCCAAAGCCGTGCCCGATTGTCAGAACCGTGCATTACGCAACGTACTGAGCAGATTTGCCCACTTATTCACAGACGCGGAAGAGGATTACGGATTTTGCAATTGGGTTGAACACCGAATACCGTTGATCGCAGGAGGACAATGCAAGCCAATCTTCGGACGAATTCCACAGAACACCCTGGTTGAGATACAGAAGCAGGTGACCGAGATGGAATCGAAAGGAATCATCAGGCGAACACACAGCCCGTATTCATCACCCGTGCTATTGACGAAGAAGGCCGACGGAATCTATCGATTTTGCATCGATTTTAGAGAACTAAACAGCGTGACGGTGAAGGATGCATTCCCGGTGCCTCAGATGGAAGAAATTTTCTCAAGCCTTCACAGTGCCAAGCAGATATCTCTGATTGATTTCCGCTCGGGATATGGGCAACTGCCGATCGCAGAAGAAGATCGCCACAAGACGGCTTTCAGTGTCAATGGCCAGCAGTATGAGTTTTTGAGAATGCCGTTTGGATTGTGCAACGCCCCAGCTACATTCAGGCGTTTGTTGCTCATGGTCCTGGGGAATCTGCAAGGCGTGGTTGTTTATGGTGATGACATCATCGTCTTCTCTGAGACGGAACAGGAACATGTGACCAGACTTGGAGCAGTACTGCAAAGACTGGACGAAGCTGGTCTGAAACTCAGTCGTAAAAAGTCGCAGATTGCCCAAAAGTCAATTGTATGCTTGGGTCACATCGTGGGCAATGGTCAAGTCCATCCACTTCCTGAGAAACGCGAGACAATCAAGTGCTTCGCATAACCAAAATCCAAGCGTCAGCTCCGTTCGTTCTTGGGAGTGGTGGCATATGATTCAAAGTTTGTGCCCCAGTTCGCAGAGAAGGCCAGCCCGTTGTTAAAGCTGCTTCGCAAGGACGTGCCGTTCGTGTGGACAGCTGAAGCGGATCAAGCCTTTGACCATCTAAAGGCATGCATAGCAGAAGCCCTGACATGTCTACGGCTACCCAATCCTGGTGAGATGTTCACTGTGGCTGTCGACGCAAGCAACGTGGCAATCGGTGCGGTTTTGTCTCAACCGACTGGGGTGGTAGAGTACGCGAGCAGAGTGCTGACGGGGGCGGAACAGAAATATTCAACAACGGAGAAAGAATGCTTGGCCATCGTGTGGGCGTTAGAGAAGTGGAGAAATTACTTATTGGCGAGTGAATTTCGGGTCGTCACTGACCACAAACCGCTCTCGTGGTTGATGACAGCGAAAGACCCGCGGGGACGGCTTGCGCGATGGGCCTACCGATTGCAGGAATTCAACTTCACCATTGAGCACGTGGATGGAGTGCAGAATGTATTGCCAGATATGTTGTCCCGCTCGTGTTTGGACGACAACATGCCCGACGATGCCATACCGGTGCGTGCGATCGCGATGGGGGAGGAACCTGCTGGGAGATCAAAGGACAGATGAATTCGGGAATGTGTTGTGCTCTCACTTACAGGCTGGCACCAAACCGGAGGCTACATCGGAAGAGGTGGAGGAACTCCTCAAGATCTGGGACAGGTTGAAGGTCGAAAACGATATGGTGGTGGTGGCGATAGACGGACGGAAAGTGCCTTTTGTTCCACCAAATAAGCGAGAACGTGTGATGCGCATAACTCATGATGGCGCCCATAAGGGATTCGAGCGGGTCTTTGAATTGCTGCGGAGGCGAGTGTTTTGGCCAACCATGAGGAAGGACGTCGCGGCATACCTTCGGGAGTGCCCAAACTGTCAAACGAGTCGGAAGATGGAGTCCCCGAGTCCGCCGATGCGATCGATGGAGGTTGGTGAGCCACTTCAGTGTTGGGGACTGGACGTCTTTGGGCCCTTACCAGTGAGTCGAACAGGAAACAGGTACATTCTAGTGATGATTGACCACTTCACTGGATGGGTGGAAGCCATAGCAATCAGGGACCAAACAGGCGAGACAGTGTCGCAAGTATTCGAATTCAATGTGCCTGCAAGGTATGGGATCCCACAGTGTATCATCACGGACCAAGGGCCCTGCTTCGAGTCAAAAGCGTTTAAGGCAGTGTTGGGCAAGTGGTTCATCCAGAGACGGCGAACTTCACCGTACCACCCATAAACCAACGGCATGACCGAGCGGTCCAACCGGACATTGAAGACGTGGATCAACTGCACGAAGTTGGCATGGGAAGATGCTTTGCCTCAGGTTCTGATCGCGTATCGGACCAGCATGCAATCAACCACCAAGGTCTCGCCATTCGAGTTACTGTTCGGCAGAGAACCACGGATTGCGCTCGATACTTGCCTACCGAACCAGGGTGAGCGGAAACATCCAGCTGGGCATCAAGAGCGACTGCGAGGGGAAGCTAGAAGCGAAATCAAAGCTCGACAAGCGCGGAATAAGCGAAATTACGACGCCATGCATGAGGCTCACAAGTGGAGGCCATTCAGGATTGGAGAACAAGTCAAGTTACGGAACAAGGATCGGCCGCATCATGACGGGCCGGGCGCAAGCAAGTTCAGAGAACGCTGGAAGGGCCCCTACACCATTATCGACCAGAAAGCGGTCAACTTCTTAATCGACTGCGGAGGAATGAAACGTTGGGTGAATGCTGTTCTCCTGCGACCATGGTACGAGAGGAAGAAAGGTCCTGGAGAAGGGGCGGGTGTAGAAGGGCCGCTTCCAAGGATGCCTCGGGGGAGCTCTTCGGAGCTAGCTGAGAGCGGATCGAGAAGGACGGGTAGCGACGAGCCTGGGCCCGGAACTACGGAGCGGGAATATGTGGACAGCGCAATAAATCAGACATATAAGTCGCTAGCGCAGCCCACAGGACCGACGCCGAGCCGATTGACACAGCCCAGAACAAGCAAGTCGAGAGCTCTCGAACGACTCCTGGTCGATCCAAATCGGGTACAGAGAAGTGGGAATCGAGGCGAAAACAGGAAGGCGGATCCTCCAAGTCAGAGCTCCCGAGGCGAAAGGACTGGCTCGTCTCTAACATCCGTACCTGTGTTGCGTTGTGGGACGGAAATCTAGTCGATATTCGATGGCGCGCGCGAGACCCTCATGTGCCTATTTTCGGTGTGCAATAAACGTCTACACCCTGTCTTGTCGTTCTCGCTACAATATGTCTTAAATGTTATAAAATCTTCGACTTTTTCACCTGTAAGCGTCCAGCTTTTGGACTAGCTTTTCCAGGCCCTTTCCAAATTAGTAATATCCCAGTACCATAGCATGCATTGTGAACTTATACACCGCCGTGGTTCAGCATAATATGGTATGACTCCCTCAAACAACTCAGTGTATGCTTGCATTCTTCTTGTCAGTTGTCCTTTCTTTATTCGACTTTCTTAGCTCTCGTCTGGCGACCTTCCTTACCTCATCCGGTCAGTGCACAGCTGCTCCTTGCTAGATGCACAGCTGTCACTCGTCTGTGACAGCTAATTACTTGTAGTACAGCCCTCTCACCGGCTTCGCCCTGCTCAGGCTTCCCTACTTTTATTACATTAGAACCACGGCATGATTTCATCATCTGCGCGTCGCCGCGGCTTTGCCTTTTATGCTTCGAATTACTTAACAACCATATCGTATGCTTGCGCTTCATCCGTTCGCTGTTCTTTCTTCATAAAACCTTTCTTAATTCTATTCTGTAGAACAAATATAATTCATGTGGCCTGCGCACAGTTGCTCCATTGCCTCCCCCTTCTAAACGTCCATTTATCCATTGATTGCTTCAACGTTTGTTACGCCTGCTCATGTAGGATTCCAGATCTTTCAATGGCATGTTCCAGTCCAGTCTACCTTAGTACTAAAATGAGCACCATAACAGGGCTCAGTAACTGCGCGCCTCTGACTCATATGCTGCGATGTCCTCAGCAGACTTAATTTATGCATGCACTCCGACTGTTTGATGTCCTTCTATATAAACTTTTCGGCTTTCTCTAGCACTCCTTCCAACTCTTCAAGTCGATGCTCAGCCGTTACTTAGCCTCCCTATTATAGACGTTCACATATCTCTTAATTGTTTTAACGTCTTCGACTTTTTTACCTGCAAGTGTCCAGCTATAGGACGAACTTTCCCAGGCTCTTTCCAAAGTAGTAATATCCCAGCACCATAGCATAAATTGGGAACCTATTCACCGCCGTGTTTCAGCGTTATATGATACGACTCCCTCAATCACTCCTCTTGACTGTTGTCCTTTCTTTATCCGACCTTCTTGGCTCTCGTCTGGCGACCTTTATTAGCTCATCTGGTCAGTGCACAGCTGCTCCTTGCTAGATGCACAGCTGACACTCGTCTATGACACCTAATTAATAATAGTTTGGCATCCTCACTGGCTTCTCCTGGCTCATTCTTCCCTTTTTTTATTCCTTTATCACCATAGCATGATCCTATTATATTCGCATCGCCTAATTTTGCTCTAAACTAGTTAAGAGCCTCAATGTTTGCTTGGGATTCATTCTTTCGTTGTCCTTTCTTTATGAAGCCTTTCTTTGCTCTCTTCTGTCGTGCAGGCATATCCATGTATTCAGCGCAAGCCGCTGTTTTGCCTCACCCTTCTTACTGTTCATTTATTCCTTACTTGATATATTGTCTTATACCTTATTACGTGCAATCATACAACTCTTGGGCTAGTATTCGCTGGCACTATCCAACTTGGTACTATTATCTTAGCACCCTAGCTGCTGAGGTTAGGCCTCACCGCTCCGCTACTCTAATCAACCTTTACGCTTGCATTTCGGCTATTCCCTACCCTTCCGTCAATTAATGTTTCTTAGCCTCTTAGTTCTTCCCTCCTCTCACTTGGTCAGCACACAGACGCCCGTTAGCTTCACATTTCTAGGTGTTCATTTCTCACCATTTTCTTGGCACCCTAGTATGACTTGTTTCTCTGCGCGACGCTACATATATTTGTTCCTCACGTGCGCGTTCCTTTAACTGATCTTTAATACTTCATTTCTATCGATCAATCCTTTCTCCGCTATTAAGCTGGATCCGTTTTTACAGCAAAGGTTTCGACAGTTACCTTTGTAGGAGGTCAGTTCTCATAGGCTTTTCCTATTTCAATGGGCCATAGCACTATACTCCTAGTACCCTCGTGTCGTCTTTCCGTCTTGATCACCCGATAATTTTTACTCAGCGCTTGAGTCCTAACTATCCACTGACTTACCATCTGTTTCGAGGTAGGCTGGCCACCAGCCGTCCATCCACCATTCTTACGCCGCTGGTCCTTGAACTCTGCTTTCTGTCTTTCCACGCAATAGTCGCATCATAGTAAACTGATACTGCATTTTTGCTTAATGGCGGAACGCTCTGTATTCCTTGTAGATAGTAGCAACCAACTTATAGTACCACTGCTTTCGATAAACATTCAAATTCACTTGCAGCACAATCACTGCTGCATATTGTACATCATTTGTCTCCACTCTAAATGTTATAACATAAGAGTTTAATAAGGTTTGTATCCACGCCTGTTCGTTGCGGCCTTGGTTGTCTCTCACCTTTTTTTTCTCCGAAGTCCGGAACTTCTTGGGTATCTGAGATAGGACCGAGAAACCGCTTTGTCCGGGACAGAACCACCATTAAGGACCTATGAAGCACATGGCTGTACAAGAAACGGATACAACTGCACTCAATACAGGACCGTTTCCAGTGATGGTAGCTGGACTCGAGAACTACACACACTTGAAAAGAATACATACTCCTGAAAAATCCAGACGCAAGAAACTGACATTTCACCCACCTGGATACCCAAAAAGACGATTCTTCTGAAGCTCACATTTTCGATTCGCCTCAGCCATTATGGCGGCCTTGCCCAACATACCTGATCAAATAACAGAGGAAATTTAAGGTCATTTGACTGCGGATATCTGAGTGTGAAATCAATCGACTACCTGGTCTGCCAGTTCTATATTAGTGCACCGACAAATTTCTGATAGTGTTCCAGGACGTGGTGGGTTTTTGCCCGGCAAGCGTTCTCCCTATAAACAGCCACAAATGTCCGCGTAACAACACTGCGACGTGGCGGATGTGACTCGCCACCGAATAAAGTCACTGCCATGAACTACCTACTGGCAAGTCGACCAGAATCATTATTCAATATTGCCCTGTCACTTTCAATGATACGTTACACCAAGCCTATATGTATCGTTTTCATTACACATGTAGTGCCCTGACTGTTTCCACTATACACGCTAGAGTTCAACGTTTTGTCATTCATTGAAGACTCTATCCCGTGACTACTTACACAATTTCCGCAGACTGTGCAACCTTCGGCTTACTGCCGACTACACTCAGAGCAACGTGTTTGTTATAAGCAGTATTGCAAGTAAATATTGGTCATGCCTTGCTTGGTGTGTCTCGACAAATTCGAGAATAAACTACTTATTTATTTATGCTATTTTTCAAAATTTACTAATTTGTGCAATTGCCGAGCATATATATCTATATTACCATGATCACGACCTTGATGGCGTCTCGCATGACGAGAATAAACTAGTTAATTATTTAGTTATTTAATACTTTAGTGGTTTCAGTACCTTCAGACTTTGAGAGAGACTTCCGGACGTCTTGAGCTCTCTTCCTCTTGCTTTTAGTGGGCACAGGCGCTATAAGTTCCGTATTGCTTTGCATGGCTTCCAGTACAACATCTGTGGCCTCTTTAAAGGCATTCTCGACCGCTAGGCACACGACACGGTTGCCATCACCTCAGTCGGATTTTCAGCCGCAGCAATTGCGGTTAGTTGCGGGCCTTCCGCAAATGAGCCGATATCCATAGAGACTCCCATTTCCTCATCAGTAACACCACTTTCAGATCAAGAGATATAAAGAAGGACCACAACTGTTGGTTACCCATTCCGAAGCTATTCGATGTCCCCTCAATGACCACAAGACGCGTAGAACGACGGCAACGGTATCGAAGGCAAGTTAACAGCATACTCTCGCTAATCGAAAGCGTTGTGTACTACTCAGGTCTCAAATCAGTGCCGTCTCATGGTACCAGCAGTTGCATACATACCTCTGCATGCCACCAGAATCGTCCGTTACGGGCTTTGAGCAGCAAACGCTGCCACAACATATTAGATTCGCTGATCAACGTAGCCGAAGACATATCAGCGCAGGTATTCAGTGAATCCTACCTGGTGCACCCAAAAAGGGTGAAACAAGTATCAAAACGTAAAACCGACATGCTGTTACCTGCAGGGCAGTCAACAGAAACAGTTAAGGGTTAAAACAAAGTACAAAACGGAATACAAACCACAAAAATAGAGGAAGATTGACCAGAGCCTGAACCCGAAAACGTTGACAGCCTGCTAGACTTGTTCACCCTCTATTGGTATGGGCACCTCTACCTCTAACCTGTTTACCACTCGACCCACTCCATTTGTCCTCCAAAATCAATGGCATTTCGCTGACTAATCCCGTCTCAACTGATCGGTCTCCCGCTCTCCGACTGCTCTGACGTTATTGGCCATCTTTCGGATGACTGAGCGTCGTCTTTATTCAATCCTTCTTCAATCGGACGGCCGACTCTTTGTGCCATACCCTAATTTAGCCTCAGCTGATCAGCAAACTCTCTGGAATTACTACCAGGCTACCGTGATGTTAGCGCTCTAGGCCCCGTCGATCTAAAGCAGTGTCTGCCTCACCTTGATAGCCTGCTGGACTTGTTCGCCCTATGTACTTATAACCACTTCTCTCTCTGACCAGTCCAATCCTACTGACATTACTTATCTAACCAAATAAACCATAGGACCCAATCACAATGCGCCGACCCAATCCAATCCCGGCTGATCGGTCTCCTTCTCTCCGACTTTTGTGACGCAGCCGGCTATTGCTGGGAAGACTGAACGCTCTGACACCATTACCTTGAGAGCCACGTCAACTGTCGCATTTATTAGCCCTTAACGTAAACTCTCGACTCTGTCCTCTCCTTATCGCGCACTGCCTTTTTCTCCTTTTCAACCGGAGAGCGTGCCCTCAGTGCCCTTCCCTATTACCCTCTTCGACCATCGAAATTTATTTCTAGGACCTGCTTCACCAACACACAAGCTCTCTCACATTGCGAGCCTGCCTGACTTGCATTCCTTATATTCATATAACCTCTTCCATCCCTAATCTTTCCTTCTCTGCCGACTTTTTATTTATCCTCACACTTCAACTTTACGACTTACTCTAAATGTACTGACTAATCCAGTCTCGTCTGATCGGTCCCCTGCGCTCCGAGTTCTCTCAGACTGTTGTGACGTTACCGGCATTTGTTCGGAAGACCGTACGCTCTGTCCCCATTACCTCGTGAACCGCATCGACTTTTCCACATCTTATAAGTAAACCTCTTTCTATCCGGACCGTCTCTCCCCCTTATGGCGCTCTCTACTTTCATTTCTTCTCTAATCGGACTGCCAACTCTCAGTGCCCTGTAATAACCTAGTCTCATCTGACCGGTCTGCTTCTTTGACCTTTTCCAGACCAGCAACATTTAAACGGTCTAGACTCTGTAGACTCAAAGCTATGTCGCACTTACGTTGACAGCCTGCTAGACTTGTTCACCCTCTATTTATATGGGCACCTCCACCTCTAACCTGTTTACCTCTCGACCCACTCCATTTGCCCTCCAAAATTAGCTGTTAGACTCAATCTCGTTTTGCCGACTAATCATGTCTCGTCTGATCGGTCTCCTGCTCTCCAACTTCTATCAGACTCCTGTGACATTACTGGCCAACGTTCAAATGACTGAGCGCCGTCTGTATTCAATTCTTCTTCAATCGGACGGCCGAGTATCTGTCATTCCTAACTCAGCCTCAGCTGATCAGCCAAATCCTCTGGGACTGCTACCAGGCTACCGTGAGGTTAGCGGTCTAGGCCCCGTCGGTCCAAAGCAATGCCCCTCTCACCTTGATATCCTTCTGAACTTGTTTGCCCTATGTTAATATAACCACTTCTGTCTCTGACCAGTCCAATCCTACTGACTCCACTTACCTTCTCAAAGGAACCATAGGACTCAATCACCATGCGCCGATCAAATCCAATCTCGGCTGATCGGTCTCCTTCTCTCCTACTTCTGCGACGCTGCGTGCCATGCTCGGAAGACTGAACGCTCTGTCACCACTACCTCGGGAGCCCCAAGGACTTTTCTACACCTTATAATTAAACCTTTTTCTATCCGGACCGTGTCCTCTCCTTATGGTGCTCTCCGCTTTCATTTCTTCTCTAATCGGACTGCCAACTCTCAATGCCCTGTAATAACCTAGTCTCATCTGACCGGTCTGCTCCTTTGACCTTTTCCAGACTAGCAAGATAAATCGATCTAATCTCTGTAGACTCAAAACTATGTCTCGCTTACCTCGACAGCCCGCTAGACTTGTTCACCCTTTACTAATGTAGGCGTTTTTATCAGTAACCTGTACATCCAATCCTTCTTCAATCGGACTACCAACGCTTAGTGCATTGCCTTACTTTATCATCATCTGATCAGTGAAATGCTCTGGGGCTACTACGAGGCCTCCGGATGTGTCGACTCATCAAGTCTCGTCTGTTTGGTCTCCGGCTCTCAGAATTCTCCCAGACTACCGGGATAGCACCGGTGATTTTTCAGAACTGAACGATTCGTACTTCGCACGAGAGCGTCCTTGGCTTCAACACCCTTTAGCAGTAAACCTTTTTCATCCTGACTATCTTCTCGTAATTACATTCACGAGTTACTCTTCGCGTTGCCGTCCGCATTCATCCGCACACAGCTGATTCTTTAAATTTCCTTTTCATCTTGGAACGTTGCTTTACCTATTTTGCTCCCGCATTAGGTCTCAACCTAGTTGTCCCTAGTTTCACCTAAGATGCCTCTCGCATTCTGACTGCTGTCATCATCATCGGTTTACCAGCTTTTCTCCATCAATTGTATTAATCGCTTAACCTTTGTCAACACACTTTGTTACATCGGTCTCTTGACCCTGCGCATGCAGAGCCTTCTTCCTACCTAGTAGTTGTAGTCTGCGCCACACCAGCGACGTGATGTAAAGAACGCGCTTGCAAAGCATGTATACAAAACAAAATTACATAAGTTTAAATGGATCATAGGCAATGTTGCGCGCCACCAGTCTGTGTTTGTGCTTCTGGATTAATTGCTGTTTGACTGCCTCAGGTCCGTTACCCGTTTTCTCCCGAAATTTCCACAGATACATTCGCCAAAACAAGTAGGTTTATCCACTGGGACTGGTCCACCCACCCTCAATAGCCAGCTGGCTTACACGCTTGATCTTTCTTCCGGGAGATGAAGAACCCACACGTCGTTCCAAATAGAGTTCTTTCCGCCATTCTGGAGAAGCTACCACCACGAGGTCTAAACAAATGGGTTTTGCTCACCTCGCACTCACCGTAGAACAATTTACTCACCTGGAGTAATGTATTTACATGGATCCACTGTTCCTTTAACCGAAGACAGACAATTCTGGCGTGATTACCTTTACTGCCACCGAGTTCACCTGAGCCGCTTGGCTCAACGCCACCAGCTTTGAAAATAAGAAAAGCGGAGACGCTAGCACCATACAACGCTGCGTGCGGGAATGGATTGTGCAGCGCTCTAGTGTTCAATGTTCCCGACGACGTACTGGTGGACACATTTAGGCGTGCAATCATTGCAGTTAATGGCATTGCAGAGAATGCCCTGCAGGTTCAAAGATTGACTAAGTGTGTAACCCAATTTGCGGGTCCCATCAAACTGAACGCAAAGGATGAGGAAGTATTGCAAACTCTCATAGCTAACCGTGAACAGCTTCGCAGTGCAACAATGCTAAGCCAGCTTACATTCGGTCCGCTGAAAAGAAGCTTAGGTTGGGCTGCGACTAATCCTAACATCATTGCAGGCTATAGGCAACGCGAGCTTGGCGCATCCAAAAAGAGACAACGAGCTACACCTAACCGCTTAGACAGCATTGTGTCTAACACTACGAAGGATCCCAATGTCAAACGGGCTTGCGGAGCAAACTCACCTAGTCACTCACCGACGACGGCTATGTCACCCACACAAGCCTTAATTAGCGCAAGATCAGTAGGCAAGCAGTCACAGCAGCTGGGTTGGGACAATGCGTTGTTTAGCGTACTTATATTTAATGTTCCGGATGGCGTATCGACGGGCAAGCTTCAGAGCACAATCCTTAAAGTTAACGGTATCGCGGAAAACTCGGTACACGTTGAGAGGATGGTTAAAATAATCAGTAAATTCCCAGCCCCAGTCAAATTGACAGTAGACGATAGTAGAATCCTGCGCACTATAATATTGAATTGTGAACAAGTTCGCAATGCTCCCAAGTTAAGGCAACTTTATTTTGGCCCACCAAGAGGGACACTACCCAACCATACCCTAGATACTTGTGAGACGGCATCGCGTACCACCACCGTTACCAATTCACCCACAGAGCGCATTACATGTGATAATTTACGCAGCTCCGATCAGCTACCTGCGCATCCAGGCTGTTATGTACCTGCTACATCCCTCAGACTTTCGCCGTCGGTCCAGGTAAAATGGCCAAATAGTCCACTACTTCCTACCCCGCAACCTGCGCATTTTTTAGGCTAGGTGGGATGAGCCGCGACAGTTTCATCCCGGCACCAAACTCCTCGTCGCCCAACTACCAACTGCAATGCCTTCTCACCCCCTTCTTACAACTACTGCAGATAGCGAAGTAAGCATCAACGGCTTCATCTCGTCATGCGTAAACATAATAGACCCCAAGTGTTCTTTCTCACTTCTACTTATAAATGCTAGGTCCCTAAACAATAAAATGCATATCTTGCGTCCGTTGTCTGTCCTCGCCGACCCTGATGCAATATTTGTCACGGAAACATGGTTCTTCCCTTATGCTTCAGAGGAGAACTACACGCTTCCCGGCTACCAGCAGTTTATGCAGTCGCGTGCGCACAAACGAGGGGGCGGGTGCGCCATTTATGTTAAAAATACTTACCCAGCAAAACGTCCGAAATGATGAACGCTGCTGAGGCGATGGATTCAGTATGGATAAAGGCTGATATCCTGGGATCCACGATATTATTTGGGTGTGCTTATAGACCACCTGAGACCTCAGTTAAGGGTGACAAGGCACTTATGGATGCTTATGCGCAAGCGTCAACTTTTCCCTGCGATTACAAGCTCGTTGCAGGAGATTTCCACCTGCCTGAGTTAAACTGGTTCTCATCTGCTGCAACAACAAAGTATGCTGCCCTACAAGCATGCAACAGTTAAGGCGGCTGGACGCAGCATGTATCTGCTCCAACCAGGGAGGAACACATCCTTGACCTAATATTTACCCTCAGCATCCCATCAACGCGAGTGGCAGTCGGCCGGGAATTCCCGGGTAGTGATCACCGATTAGTGCATTGCTCGGTTTCCTTAAAGCAACATACTGCCCACCCAACAGAACCAGGTGCCGTCTTAGTATCCGCCCGATGCACCTCGTCAACTGGACAACCTTTGCTGTGCTCGTCCGATCAAAAAATTGGGATGCTTTCTTTATGTCTGATTCTGTGGATCGCTCGGCTGAGCTGTTTTATGAGGAAATACTCCACTGTCTCGACTCTCTAGCTCCCTCGTCGCATTTAATAAGGCATCCTTCTAAAAGTATGACCCAAACCAAAATGTATAACAGAATACGTCAGCTTAGACGATCCTAATACAAAACCTTCAATTTTGCTCACATCATGAGAGCGAACGAGATGGCACACCAGTTTTCTGCCAGAGCTAAGCAGCAGCAAACCAAGCAAGAAATCGCCGCGCTAAATAGTGCGAACAAATCTAAGAGTCTCAGTTGGCTGCTGCGCTCTCGAACCCCTAACTTTGGACGAAAGATCTCTACTCTAAAGATCAGTCCCAACGAAACGTCTAGTGACCCAAGAATTTTATGTGAAGCCTGCAGCTCACATTTTAAAGAATCCCAGTGTTTGGAAATAAGCTCAACCTTTCAGGCCATGAAGGTACCCGGTAGCCAGTCCCTGTCCTTTGTACAGTTTGACCTAAGTAGTGTCCGTTCCGCGATCTCAACTACCAAGCCATCCTGGAACCCTGGTCCAGACGGAATCCCGCCCAGTCTACTTAAGAATAGTGGTGAAGATATCCCTATGCTTCTTTTGAAAATCTTTAAATAAATAAGTAAACTTTTATTCTGGACCGTGCGAGACACACCTTTACAGGCATGGTCATGTTTAGCTAACAGTGTGATCAAAAATGTACAAAAGTACACGTTTGGCATAACAG